TCCAAAATTGGGCCACCAACAACCACGTTACCATCAACCATACCAAGACCATGGTTATGCACATCAACCTCTCATCCGACCTTGTCCCGCCTCTCCATCACTTCGGGCGCCAACTCACTCCAGGTTGTGGACTCCACCAAGCTCCTCGGCGTCACTACAGATAAACTGAATTGGAAAACACACGTCAGTACAGTTGCCAAATAAGAACTTAAGAAAATAAGGAGTCTGCAAAAGGCTGGTTGGCCTGTGCATGGCAGCACCTGTCGAGAGTTACAACCACTCTCTATCGTCCATGAATCTATCTAGCCTCCTTTTAAAACTTTCCAGCGTCCCAGCACTTACTATAAAGTTGCTAAGCTTGTTCCACTCGTCTACCACCCTATTTGCGAACCAGTTCCTTCCTATCTCCCTAAAACCCTAACTTATCCAACTTAAATCCGTTGCTCCGAGTCCTATCCTGCTCGGATATTATAAGAACTTTATCTATATCTCCTCTATTGATTCCTTTCATCCACTTAAATACTTCTATCATATCTCCCTGCACTCTTCGTCTTTCTAGGGAATGCAAGTTAAGTTTCTTTAATCTATCTTGATAGGGAAGGATTCTAAGTCCCCGAGTCATTTTCGTCATTCTTTCGTCTCCACCTCCTCTGCCGACTGAGTCCCTCGGAGTTCCTGCCCCCGAGCTCCTCAGTGTTTACTCAACATCCATACTTCCCAAGCTCACCTGTGTCTCCCCTGCCCTCCTCCTAAATGCCACACAACGTAAACATCTAGAAAAAGTAAAATAAAGGGCATGCAAGATTATTCTCTCCTCTTCCTACTCCACATATTAAGAAGCGCTCACCACACTGACCCTCTCTGCTCTCTCTGATCATCACCATGACCTCATCTGCAAATTTGGCGAGGAGCATGTGCCCCATCCTTCGTCCGAGAATTTCTGTTCGACACCACAACCGCATCCAGCCCATACGAGCACGTACTGATCGCTATAAAAACAGCCCAGTCCCAACCATTGTAAAAATTATCAACAACGCGTAATCAACCAGTGTATTCACTCCCAGTCAATCCTACTTTTTTGCGTTGTCACTGTTGAAATGCCCTGCAGTATGACCTTCTCCCCACCTAGTTATTATACATCATATCTGTATCACTTATGTTACTTGTATATTATTTGTCACCGAAGAGACCATTCCCCAATTATGTAACTGTATATTTTCAACCTTCCGGTTGCCATGCTCTTTCAATAAACCGTTAATTACTATTACGCTCACACACATGCATACACGTGCGCGCGCGTGTAGGTTCAAGATTAATTGCATTAGGTTAGGTAAAATTACATTGTTATAACAAGTTAAGTTAGATTTAGTTAAGTAAGGTTTGGATTAAGTTTAGGTCAGGAAAAGTTAGGCTTAATCTCTTTGAACTTAAACTAGCTTAGGTTAATCTATTTCGAGACATATTTAGTAAGGGTTTAAGTAAATTATTTCACTTAAAAATTTAATATCAAGCTAGAACCAATCAACACACAGTAAGCCCTCATACGCGTGGATACTGTCTGGCGTTGTTAGGTAGTTGTAAGAGTCTATGATTATATGACTCGGGTGCACAGCATGTGGATCACTTAATTACTCAACCACACACCTGATGAGTTTGTTATGCACACGTTGTTACGCTTCAGGTGTTCCTTCCTTGCTTCCCTTTTCTCCGCCTTCATAATCTTTTTCTTTCCTCTCTTCCTTCCTTTCTCCCTCCTCGTTCTTGTCCTTTTCCTTCTCCTCTTCTTTTCATCCTCCATCCTCCTTGTCTTCCTCATCATACCTCTGCCTCCATCAACTTCCCCGTCACTTTTTCACTCCCCCTATCCCGCCATTCCACCTCCTCCCCAGGTGCTACTCCCCTCCCCCAGTGCTACTCCTCCCACAGTGCCACCCCCTCTCACAGTGCTACTCCCTCCTACACCACACTCCCTCCCCAGTGCCTACCCTCCCCAGTGCCATTAACCATCACTATAACCTCCTGTTAATTACCTGAAGTAATTATGGTAGGAGAGTTGATGGGAGTAACACCTGGTTTATTATGGTGGAGGGCCGAGGGTTTACGGGGCGCGGGCCGAGGGATTACGGGGCGGGGGCCGACTGATCACAGGGCGGGGCCGGAGGGTTTACGGGGCAAATCTTCAGGTGAACTAAGCTAGAGAGAGAGAGAGGGGGAATAATTATTGGTACATGCTGCCCATACTCTTTCTACTGTACACTATATCTCTTAAAGTTTTCTTGTATGTTAAAACTTTCTCAGTGTTTTAAAGCTTTCTCGTTCGAGCATTCGAAGTTTTCAAGCTTTCTTACCGTGTTAAATCTTTCTCACTGTTAAGCTTTCTCTTGACGTTAAAGCTTTCTTAGACGTTAAATCATTCTCACACTGTTCAAGCTTTCTCATACTTCAAGCTTTCCCACACTGTTCAAGCTTTCTTACACTGGTCAAGCTTCTCACTTCAAGCTTCTCACGCTGTTTAAGCTTTCACTGTCGCTTTCTAACTGTTCGCTTATCTCACACTGTTCAAGCTTTCTCACAGCATTAATCCCTCTTGAGCTAAATAAAATCGTCTGGTGTTAACTAAATAAAAAAAGTTAAGAGGTTCAAGTTTTCCTACTGTGTTGAACCTTTCCTGTGTGTGTGTTTTACATCCTGTAGTCAGCTGTTAAGAAAATGGTGGTTGTGTTATTATGTTTTTTGTGAATGAATAATAATATTGTCGTTAAGTGAGGCGTGTTGGTGGTAACAAGCGGGGTTAGGGTTATGCTATGTTGTTACCAGTATGTTATGTGAGGTTGTGTTACCAGTATGTTACGTTAGATTGTGTTACCAGTATGTTACGTTAGGTTGTGTTACCAGTATGTTACGTTAGGTTGTGTTACCAGTATGTTACGTTAGGTTATGCTATGTTGTGTTACCAGTATGTTACGTTAGGTTGTGTTACCAGTATGTTACGTTAGGTTGTGTTACCAGTATGTTACGTTAGGTTGTGTTACCAGTATGTTACGTTAGGTTATGCTATGTTGTGTTACCAGTATGTTATGTTAGGTTGTGTTACCAGTATGTTACGTTAGGTTATGCTATGTTGTTACCAGTATGTTAGGTTGTGTTACCAGTATGTTATGTTAGGTTATGCTATGTTGTTACCGGTATGTTATGTTAGGTTATGCTATGTTGTTACCAGTATGTTATGCTATGTTGTGTTACCAGTATGTTAGGTTAGGTTATGCTATGTTGTTACCAGTATGTTATGTTAGATTGTGTTACCACTATGTTAGGTTATGCTATGTTGTGTTACCAGTATGTTAGGTTAGGTTATGCTATGTTGTGTTGGTGGTGGACGTGTCTCACCCGCCTTTGTTGACACTTTACACATATGAGGAAAATGGAGGAACGATTGGTGTGTGAATACCATCGTGTTCAGTAGCATTGATTGGCCGTGATTGGCTAGTCTTTGTGGTATGAACGTCCTGTGATTTGCTAGTCGCTGTGGTATGAACGGCTGTGATTGGCTAGTCTGTGTGGTATGAACGTCCCTTGGTTGGCTAGTCTTTGGTATGAACGGCAGTAATTGGCTCGTCTCTTTGCGATGAACATGCTGTGATTTGCAAGTCTCTGTGGTATGAACGGTCGTGATTGGCTAGTCTGTGGTATGGACGTCCTGTGATTGGCTAGTCTGGGGTATGAACGTCCCGTGATTGGCTATTCTCCTTGTTACTAATGCCCTGATTGGTTAGTCTTTGATATCGCCTTACAGGAGTGTGGTTTAGTCGTCGAGAGAGAGAGAGAGAGAGAGAGAGAGAGAGAGAGAGAGAGAGAGAGAGAGAGAGAGAGAGAGAGAGAGAGAGATCCTTGTAAGGGACAGGTGTGAGCGAGACATCTGTTGAGACCTCTGATAAATTATTGGTGGAGAGGTGTCATTCACACACACACTCACACAAAGTAATTTACTCTCACTTCCCTGCAGTTCAGTACAGAGAGAGAGAGAATAATCTACTCGATATCTTGTATAAATTTTGAATGCCTTGTCTTAGAGTGATTCGGAAATAATGCTGTGTGTGTGTGGAGTGTGTGTGTGTGTGTGTGTGTGTGTGTGTGTGTGTGTGTGTGTGTGTGTTAGCACTGTAGCTTTAAAGGGTTACCACGCGGCGGGCGCATCTGTCCTCCTCATCTCCACCCCCACACACACACACACCTCACCTACGCCCCCAACATGAAAGGGGGGGGGTTAAAGAAGGGAGCAGTGGTGTGGTCAGTTGATAGTGGAGGGGGAGGGTCAGCTGTGGGGTGGAGGGGGATGGAAGGGGATTGCTTGGTGGGAAAGGGGAAGGTGGAAACGGGAGGGAAGATATGATGGAGGGGGTGACAACGGGTGGGTGGACAAGGGGACGGGTGTCACTATATATGAATTATATTGCCATATAATAAAAATAATCCTGTATGAAGTTATTTTGTTCAACATGTGTGTAGTGTAATTACAGGTGTTTAATGTTCACAAACGTTAAAATATTCCAACAGTCATTGTTCATAATAGCTGAGATGTTATGGTAGGAACCTCTAGTTCACCTGTCTCAATGTACAGTCGCTTGCACATCTACCTGGTACAGTGGTTAGCGTGTTTTGTGGCACTGCTGTGTTTGTTTACATGGTGTTATAACTCCGGAAAAGGCCTTAAGGAACCTCACAGTAGGATGCTAGATAGCTATCTTCACAGTGCTGCCACATAACGCACCAGCCACTGTACCAGATATTACCTGGTGCGTACCTCACCTGGTTGAGACACTTTTCCACACCGAAGGACTACCTGCAAGAGCTGTTTTATATCCTATTTCCTTATAATATAATGTATAATAATAATTTTATATAAATATGTCACTTAACCTGCCTTTATAAGAAGACATCACGAGACTGTGTTGTTACTGACAGTGTTTGTGTCTAATTCTTGTTTGTTTGTTTGTTTACAGGTGAGCCATGAGAGATGTGGACGGTGCGTTGAAACACAGCAAAGTGTAAGTCGATGGTGTGTGTGTGTGTGTGTTTGTTTGTGTAGGTGTGCGCGCGTGTGCGCGTACAAGAGGAAGAAGTGTACAGCAGTAGGCAACACCGCCTCTCCAAAAAACAGATCTACACTACAGTATTGCTCGTATAAGGTGTGCGGTGGCTGAGTGGATAAAACGCTTGCCTTCTGTCTTGAGGGTGGTTGGATCGATCCCTCGCCCCAACTGTCACGCTTGCGGGACAACATTCACTGTTGTGTGGTGGTGTCGTTACGAGGTGTAGAAAATGACATGATAATTATTGCATATTATGGATCATTACGTCACTATAGGCGCCAGTGTGAGTGAAGGGTCGCCAGACGTTGTTCTTGAGTGTATGATTACTGACATGTGACACAGTGGGTGGGAGTGACGTACCACCTGTGTCTCACCTTACATGTGTCTCAACTATGTCTTCCCTCACCTGTGTCTCACTTCACGACTATCACCCGCCAGGCTCTCTCTCCCTCCCTCTCCCTCCCCTCCCTCCCCCTCCCTCCCTCCCTCTCTCCCTCTCCCTCTCCCTCCCTCCTCCTCCCTCCCTCCCCCTCCTCCTCCCTCCCCCCTCCTCCTCCTCCTCCTCCTCCCTCCTCCCCCCTCCCCTCCTCCTCCCTCCCCCACCTATATAAACATATTCCCACCTTTACTGCTCTCTCTCTCTCTCTCACACACACACACACACACACACACACACACACGCACGTAATACTTTGCCTCCCACACACGCCCTCCCACGCCACCTCTTTGTCTTCATCTAGACCTCTCCCACGCACACGCCACCCACTGACACACACACGCGTCACTCACACACATGCGTCACACATACACACACATGCGTCACACACACATACGCCACCCACACACACGCGTCACTCACACATACGCCACCCACACACACGTCACTCACACACACACACCACGCAGACACACACACACACACACACACACACACACAACAACACAAATCAGCGCGCGCGCGTAATCCTCTCTTATTCAAATAACGACCGGCCAGGACGGGAGGGTGTTTAACAAGTACAATTCACGTTATATACCTGTACTGTATTTTACCTGTACTTGTATTTTACCTGTACTCGTATATGTACCTGCACTGGTATCTTTACCTGTACAGTTTCACGTGAGTCAATTACGTATACATTAAGATGTAAACTTTGTCACTAGCGATAGTAAACTTTGGTAAAATACTTGAAGCATAACCTCATGTACTGTGGTAAGAAAGTTTACATATTGTTAACCTGTAAACTGTAGCTTCCCGGTCGGGTATACTTTACATTATGTAAGGTGTTTACGCTGACTCTTTCCAGTTATCTTGGATTAAAATAATATCGACGAATAACATTAGAAATAACAAAAGATAACAATAACATCAAAATAACAAACATAACTTAAATAACACCCAAGAATAACAAATTACACGAAAATAAGGAATAACAAAATTACACCAACAACAAATAACACGGAGACACCTGGAGACGTTACCTTAACAAGACTCGATAGTAGAGTCATTAACTTTGTCATTATCCTATTGTTTGGGTCAGGTGTTAAGTTAAGAACATAAGAAAATAAGGAGTCTGCAATAGGCCGGTTGGCCTGTGCATGGCAGCTCCTGTCGAGAGTTACTACCACTCTCTATCATCCATGAATCTATCTAGCCTCCTTTTGAAACTTTCCAGAGTTCCCGCACTTACTACAAAGTTGCTAAGCTTGTTCCACTCGTCCACCACCCTATTTGTGAACCAGTTTCTTCCTATCTCCCTCCTAAACCTAAACTTATCCAACTTGAATCCGTTGCTCCGAGTCCTATCCTGCTCGGATATTATAAGAACTTTATCTATATCCACTTTATTGATTCCTTTCACCCACTTAAATACTTCTACCATATCTCCCCGCACTCTTTCGTCTTTCTAGGGAATGTGTTATAAGGTGTGCTACAGGGGGTGTTATAAGGTGTTACAAGGTGTGCTACAAGGGGTGTTATGAGGTGTTACAGGGTGTGCTGCAAGGGGTGTTAAAAGGAGTTACAAGGGGTGTTACAAGGGGCGTTATAATGTGTGTTGCAGGGTGTGCTACAAGGGGTGTTACAGGGTGTGCGACAAGGGGTGTTGTAAGGTGTGCTACATGGGGTGATATAAGGTGTTACAGGGTGTGCTAAGGCAAGGGTGTTATACGGTGTTACAGGGTGTGCTACAAGGGGTGTTATACGGTGTTACAGGGTGTGCTACATGGGGTGTTACAGGGTGTGCTACATGGGGTATTACCGGGTGTGCTACAGGTGGAGTGTTATAAGGTGTTACAGGGTATTACAGGGGTGTTGGGTTGCAGTTACAGTAGACTGACAGGTGTGTACAGGTGGGAGACGCTCGCCTCACCTGCTCCCTCCCTCCTTCCCTTCCTCTCTCGCTCGGGGCTGCCACGAAATTTCTCGTTGACAACTTAATCAACCAACCCGTTACTGCCAGCATCCTGAGAGAGAGAGAGAGAGAGAGAGAGAGAGAGAGAGAGAGAGAGAGAGAGAGAGAGAGAGAGAGAGAGAGAGAGAGAGAGTAACCTGGGACGAGTCTTCAGGTTAGTGTGTTGAGACTGGTTAAACTCGGGTGTAGTACCAGAATCCTGATGGATAATGAATGTAATACCGATTTTCAAGAAGGGAGATAGATCACTATCATCTAACTACCATCCAATTAGTTTAACATTAATTGTAGGCAAATTGCTAGAAGCAATAATTTCAAACTCTATTCGAAATCACCTGGAGAAGCTCAAGTTGATCAAAAATTCCCAACATGGCTTCACAAGCTGGCGTTCATGTCTAACTAATCTATTAACATTCTTTCCAGCTGTTTTCGAATCAGTGGGCGAGGAGCGCGATCACGAGTCTCGACTTGAGCAAAGGCGTCGACAGAGTCCCCCACGAAAGACTAATACGAAAAGTAGAGGCTCGTGGCATTGGAGGAGATATTTTAAAATGGATTAGGGCGTGGTTACAGGATAGGAAACAGCGAGTAAGCATGAACAGCACTAAATCCAATTGAGGTAACGTTGCTAGTGGAGTACCCCAAGGCTCAGTACTTGGACCATTACTATTTATTATATACATAAACGACATAGATATAGGTGTAGACAGCAACATAAATAAATTTGCTAATGGCACTAAAATAAGACCTGTAACTAAATCTGACGAGGACTCCGCAAAAGTACAAGATCCCCCAAAATTCGAATGATCTGAAAAAAGGCAGATGAAATTTAATGTGGACAAATGTAAAGTACTTACTCTAGGAGATATAAACAGAGAAACCAGATTTCAGATGAACAACGTTTTTATGGAGAAATCCGACTTTGAGAAAGATTTGGGAGTAATTATAAGTAGGAATCTTAAACCAAGGCAACACTGTGCATTTGCTCGAAATAAGGCTAACAAAGTACTTGGGTTCATACAAAGGAGTGTTAGTTACAAGACTAGCGAGGTTATCCTAAAACTATATCTTGCGCTTGTGAGACCTTACTTGGATTACGCAGTTCAGTTCTGGTCACCGTACTACAGATTGGATATAGAATCCCTAGAAAGAATTCAGAGGAGAATAACAAGACTAATCCCGGGCATTAGGAACCTTGAGTACAGAGACAGGTTAAAGCATCTTAATTTGCACTCCCTAGAAGAATAGAGTGAGGGGCGATATGATCCGAGGAAACGGAAGTCAGGGCTAAACAAAGGTGATATAACAAAGGTACTCAAATTATACAACCAGGAGCGAAATCGTCACGATGGTTTTAAATTAGACAAAATTAAATTTAGGCGCGAAATAGATAAACACTGGTTTGTGAATAGAGTAGTGGATGAGTGGAACAAGTTACCAAACATCATCATTGACTCAGCACGCTGGATAGCTTCAAACATAGGTTATATGGGCATATGATAGGGTTGGGTGTAAATGGGACTGCCCAGTATGGGCAAATAGTTACTGTTTCCTCCAGTCTTGTGTTGTTATGTACTGTACTGTGTGGCGGTGAGATGTCTACAGGTGCACGCTGGTGGTCGTGTTCACAGGTGCACGCTGATGGTAGTGTTCACAGGTGCACGCTGATGGTAGTGTTCACAGGTGCACGCTGATGGCATGTCACAGGCACGCTGTGTGTTCACAGGTGCACGCTGATGGTCATGTTCACAGGTGCACGCTGATGGTAGTGTCAGGTGCACGCTGATGGTAGTGTTCACAGGTGCACGCTGATGGAGTGTTCACAGGTGCACGCTGATGGTCATGTTCACGTGCACGCTGATGGTAGTGTTCACAGGTGCACGCTGATGGTAGTGTTCACAGGTGCACGCTGATGGTAGTGTTCACAGGTGCACGCTGATGGTAGTGTTCACAGGTGCACGCTGATGGTAGTGTTCACGTGCACGCTGATGGTCAGTTCCAGGTGCACGCTGATGGTCATGTTCACAGGTGCACGCTGGTCATGTTCACAGGTGCACGCTGATGGTAGTGCACAGGTGCACGCTGATGGTGTGCACAGGTGCACGCTGATGGTCGTGTTCACAGGTGCACGCTGATGGTCGTTCACGGTGCACGCTGATGGTAGTGTTCACAGGTGCACGCTGATGGTCGTGTTCACAGGTGCACGCTGATGGTAGTGTCCACAGGTGCACGCTGATGGTAGTGTTTACAGGTGCACGCTGATGGTCATGTTCACAGGTGCACGCTGATGGTCGTGTCTACAGGCACGCTGATGGTCGGTTCACAGGTGCACGCTGATGGTCGTGTTCACAGGTGCCTGATGGTCGTGTCCAGGTGCACGCTGATGGTCGTGTTACAGGTGCACGCTGATGGTCGTGTTCACAGGTGCACGCTGATGGTCGTGTCTACAGGTGCACATGCATGCCAGGTGCACGCTGATGGTCATGTTCACAGGTGCACGCTGATGGTCGTGCACAGGCACGCTGATGGTCGTGTTCACAGGTG